GATAATGGTTAGACGTCCTCTACAGCTACATCCTGCTGTAACTACAGCCCAGCATTTATATCCCCCTGTTATGAGAGCAGCAGTGCTCTGATGCTCGGGCTCTTCAGCATATCTCAAGTGGATGCTGTGTCAGTCCTGGGAACCCTAAACAAAGATAAAGCTGCCGTTCCTGATGACTGGAGAGCTGCTGTAGCGCTAGAGAGTGCTGGGACAGAGAGAGGGGCCATCAGTTAGACGAGAGGGGGGTGAGGGATGGTTTCACAGAGGACGGGATATGAGGTAAAGGCAGGCTGAAGCTCAGTATCTCTGCGTGAGGATTAACTGATATCGTAGGCAACATAACCTCCTTCACTCCAGTTTGTTCTGGTTCCAGATAGGGGACAGACAGTCCAGATGCCCTATCTGCATGTTGTTCTACACAAATAACTTTTTGTATTTAATCAGTTTCTTTTCACAAAAACATATTTTTCATGCATGTGAACGTCCAATTATCCTACATTAAATCAGCTACTATATATTTGTACAGTCTGCTCATCAAAGATGATGAATGTATAGATATTAAAATGTCAGCAAATACCATGAATAACAGTTACTGATGAGCAATTTCAAAAGTAAGGAAAAATGTGTGCATTTAATGGATTATTTCTTGGAATACTCTCATACATCAAGGTATTATAAGATAATATACACTCAGTCCAGAATGTTTTTGGGCCATTCTGCCAAATCTGTGCCTTTGATGACATGCATAACTATGCATGAAAAGTATCTGTATAAATCATTACGTTATCAAGCAATATGTCCTGCACTTTGTCCTTGTTTTTATATACATACATAATGTAAATCCATAAAAAAACTACCTTGAAATACCTTTTTTATAGACATAAAATACATTTTTTTTCTCATTAGAAATTCATATGTTCATTAAAATATACATTTTAGTTGTGTTCCCAGATTTTCACTCAGCCCTGTCACCCTAATACACTTCCCCCTTTAAAAATTTTGGACATTACACAAGTCACATGATCAACAGGAGGTAGCAAAATTTGAGTCTCTTGAAGGCCACAGGAGGTTAGTGAAGTTAGTTTCCTCACTTTAATTTTCTGTACTTTTGATGATATTATTAGTACGACTGAGAATGTCAATGTCAATGTACAGTCCTGTTACTTAAATTATTTCTTAGATGTTTGTTTTTCAAGATAGTTTTGGAAAACTATGTGAAGGAGCCAAGCGTTCTCGTGCTATTAGCATTGCTGTCATGTGGCTACATTTCATGTATTTGCTAAAGCTAGGCTAAAAACTCAGTTCTTTTATCTGTATGAACCATTTTCCATTGAGAAACCTGTAAAAAAAATAGATATAATAAATAATAAAATGGCCTGAAATTCACCATTACACATTTTGAATGGTTTTGCATATCTGTTATGAGATACAGTGCTGAAAAACTTTTTAAAAAATAAGTTTAATTTCCAAAAGTTACAACATACAAGTGGCAAAGATTCAGCAGAATGTCTCTTTTATACCGTTTTTCTGTGGTATGAGATGTAATTACATACCTGTAAATTAATGTATAATACATGAAAGTGTACTTTTTTTTATGTTATTGTATATTGAACTTCCTCTACTGTATGCACATTTGTGCTATCATAGTTTTTCCATGTGGTTTGTTTTGTTAATATATTGACAATATTGTTTAAGTTATTATAATAACATCTAGTTTCCTCTATACGAATGAGTAGCCTAACTGTAACATTATATTTACTAGTATCAAAAAGTTGTGCAAATATATGAATAATACCTGGCATTAATAAGTTATAAATCCACCTTGGATTTGTTTTAATTCATACAATATTGACACAGCTGTGGCTTGTCACAAACTGCACAGAAACCTGGAACGTTGCTTGCTTTACCCCCTAGACAGAGTATCTGGTGTGTTTTATGAATGGAAGTTATTTGGAAGATCCCCCTACTATGAAATATGACAGTGCTCTGGTGTGTGTCCCGTGACAATCTCCATGGCGACTCTGCTGTGTTTAGTCCAAATACATTACCTACCTACCACCCATCTTCCTCCATCTTTAGCAGCATTCACACAGACAACTGCAAAACACAAATCTCAGCCCCGGAGTAACTGCAGCCATGAATAACCTATGATAGCGTGTACGCCTATCATCAAAAAAAAAAACAGCAAGCACTGTAACCACATCCAGATGGACTGAGCCACTTGTCTCCGTCACTTTCATTGGTGTTGTGCTGCTCTTTCCTCCGAGGCTGCTGTGCATGTGGTCATGTTTTCCACCTTCCCAGCAGCTGAAGAAATGAGAGAATACTCCTTTGCTGGATGATGGACTATTGTATCTTGTGCAGGAAATAAATTACAAGATCATTTGACATGTGGCCAGAAGAAAAAAAAAAAACAGTCGGATGTGATGCAGATGTGAGACAACCAGTCTATTATTCATGGCAAAAAAAGTTTGGTGTAATTTTGCTGATGAATATAAAAAATAAAGATTATTATTTTACAAAGTAAAGTTAACTAGCACAAACAATGTCTTCACGAAAATTAAATTAATGGCACAACTTGTTTAATTGGATTTGGTGTGGTGAAAATGTAAATACATCAAGCCTTGATATGAAACAAATCAATTGGAAAAGCAATATAAGCCAGTTATTATTGCTACTAAAATCAATAATTAACAGTAATTTTATGACACACTTAAATCATAATACTTACAAAACATCAGTATAATACTAGACTTAAACAAGTTTTGTTTCTAAATGTAGTCTATCAGTCTCTTAAATTCTAATATTGCAGATAAATATGTATATATTTATAAAAGACGTATATAATTGTAAACTATAATTGACACCTGACTCGTAAAAAAAAAAAAAAAAATCAAAATTCTGTTTTTTATTGCTTTGTTAAAGAGTCCAAATTAAACCTGCATGCTAATATGTGAGGCACTGATGTTGCATATTACAATCTTTATCAATTTTCCCCTTTTTTCTTCCTTTTTTGCCCCTCTATCCTTGCCATACATGACCCATGGTGAGTAAACAGTGGGACACAGCAGTCTTGCACTTGCAATTGCAGTACTACTTTTCCACCATAAGAGTGCAGTATTGTACCTAAGAAAATGCTGCACTATTTAAAACTGCTCAATTCTTAGCAGACGATCTTACATATCAAAGAACCGGTGACTTTACCTTAACTTTAACACATAATTTGGTGAATAACAACATAATTTTCACAGCGGATATGAATAATAAGGAGCTGAACATTTTAGACTGTGCAGTCTGCCTAAAAGAAGCAGGAAGACTACGATTTGAGGTTCACAAAAAAAAACCTCACACACACACCAGTGCGTCATTTTTCATTCACATCACCCACTGGAGCACAAACTGGGAGCAGTCCAGACTTAACACCAGCAGGAAGAAACGACATACCGACAAATATGGAGGCAGAAGACAGAGAACAAAGTCACATTAAACATCCTTTCGAAGCCTGTGGTTACCCTAACTGGGCTTTCATTTAAAAACAACTAAATGTACGAAAGGACATCAGATAGAAAAAGTCAGACCACAGCTCCCCTGATACCATACGCCTGTTTAATTAAGCTTTATTGTTATCCCATATGTAGCAAGTGTGTCTCACATCTTTAAGATTTTCTTCCAGACACAAGATTTTGTTTTTTTAAAAGTTATGGACTAGAACCAGTATATTCTTGTGCAGATCTGTTTCAGGGACACCTAACAGTAACACTTAACAGTAGGGCTGCAACTAAGGATTATTTCCACTGTCAACTGATCCATTAATTACTTTCTCGATTAAATGGATTAGTTGCTTGGTCTGGAAAATATCAGAAAATTATGAAAGATGTCAGTCAGTGTTTCCAGGGTACAGCAGGTCCACATTGTCTAAAATTTAATTTCTTAAATATTAGACCATAAAAGTCATAAAATAGTCTTGAATTTGTGAGGTTTAACTGCCACAAAAATTTTAAGTAATTTAATTTCATCTTCAAAATATCCTAAAAGCTCTTTTGCAATTACATCCACCACAAATTTGTACACGTACCACTGAATCTTATATTGTCTTTACTTTATACTTGCACTTATCTGCTTAAAATGTAGATTTTCCTAAGTCACTCGCTTAACCATAGTCCTAGACAGAACCTTCCACTGCACAGAGCTACAGTACATATATACTACTTACATTTATACAAGCTGAATAAGAAAAAGACGATTTGTCCAAAAATCTGTCTAAATTTGGTTCAAAATTATCTTGAAAGGGCCTTCAAGGCATGTGTCTGATACCTGTAGACACCCTGGTTTGCAAAGTCTGACGTCCTCAAATGACATCATCCTGGGTGAGGGTCATAGACCAAAGGCATCTCTTCTCCCACAAGGCCTGATGGGAAAAGTCAGGTAATGAACAATGGCCAGATAATCCTCATTTATCGTACCTCAAATTGCACCTCATTGCACTGTGCTATCAGTGTGTGAGTATGTGTAAATTGTTAACTGAGTAGCAGGTGGAAGCTTGTATGGTCACTTTGTCCACCAGTGTGTGAATGACAAGATGTGCAAAAGTGCTTTGAGTGTAAATCCATTTACCATTGCAGACTAACCACTTTTTTCACTGATTAATCTGTCGATAATTTTCTCAATAAATCGTTTAGTCTATAAAATGTCTTGTTTTCTCCACAACCCAAAGATATTCAGTTTATTCTTGTAGAGGAGTAAAAAAAACAAAATATTCACATTTAAGAAGCTGGAATCGAAGAATTTTGACATTTTTTCTTTGCAAATTACTCAAATCAGTTATCAAATTAGTTGGCGAGTAATTTAATGGTTGTCCTCTCATCAATTACTTGAGCAGATACAGTGTATGAAACACAAATTCAAGACTGAAAATGTACATATTTTGGAAGGTCACATCATAAACAGACTTCTTTTGGTATCAATATATAACTGACTGCAAATAAAGACGACACAGAATATTGTCTTATTCACATCTGTATTTTTCTGTGTTAATAATGTGTATAGAAATATCTCACAACATGAATCCGCCAACACACTTGAATTCTAGTTCACTGGATCATTCTTACTCTGTGTCAAATTTAGAGTTCAGAAGGCAATGATGGAAAAAGGTGAAGTTCATCTCTGCTTTCCTCAACTCTTCTTCTCCTTTAATCCACAACCATCAAAGATCATGGTGCCCTCCGTCTCACGTCATCATCCCTCCGCGACAGTTCTCCCCGTGTCCTCCTCAGAGTTTCTTCCTCATCTTCCCCTTCTTTTGACCACCCCGTCCAAAACCTGACTTCTTAACCTCTCCGAGCCACTGTTTGTTCTTATTACGCAGGTTCTTCAGGCCTCCACTCTGCAGGAACTGGTGCTTCTGATTTTTCTTGCGTTGCTTCAGGATCTGCTCTTTCGTCTTCAGTTCTGAGCGCACTCTGCTGCCACCAGGCGTCTGCTGCGCTCTAATGGGGCTCTGGAAGTTAGGACCATGACCGCGGCCACGACCACGACCTCGGCCACGACCTGAGAGACAGATAGAGAATCGAGGATTAAAGACAAGATATCTTTAATATTATAGTTTATGTATTAATCTAATAATTTAACCTATGAATAACAAATTCAAAAATTCAAATTATTTGTAGACCTTATTACGTATGACTTTTTAGTCCATCAGATGTAATGGATTAGTTCTAAAGAGTTCAAGGTGAGGCTACAGATGCTCTCTTACCTCCTCCTGGTCTCCTCACTCCTCGTGCTCCTCCTCGAGCTCCTCCTGCTTCTCCATCTGAGCCAGATCCTCCATCATCAATCTTGTATCTCTTCTTCCACTCCTCATAACTGACATGTCATTAAGTGATACAACATTACAAAAACACAGCTAAATATTGTCAGAGTCAGAGAAAACAGTTAAGTTAACAAGTACAAAAAAAAGGATACAAGTTCTTCTTGTTCTTCTTGTTATCGATGACCTGTCCACCATCTAGTCTGAGCTTCTTCTTCTGGTCCTCCTTTCCTGCTTCTTTCACAAAGCGCTTCCTCTTACGGTCCCTAAAAATCCCAGAGAGACACAACGTTATGGTAGGAAGAATCACAAGCACGAGGTGTCAGAAAGAGGAGAGACAGATTTAGAGTGAATTTAAGTTTTTCACCATTTCATCATGTTCTTGTGCTGGTTCAACCTGTCTCCTTCATCTCCCATGAGGTCCAGGACAGCCGAGGAGGCCTGCTGCTCAAAGGCACTGCCCTCTCTGCCGAGACTTAACCTAACACCACAAGGCATGAATCACAGGTTATAATACGTAAACAACACATTTTAATCATGTCTGATGTCTACATAAAAAAAAAAAAATCAGATGCTTCAGGCCTCACCCTCTCTCAGAGTTAAAGTCTTTGGGTCTGTAGGGGATGTAATATTCCTCATCTTTGCCTGACTGTCTGCTTCTCTTGTTCTTTTGATGGTCTTCACCATCTGCATGCTGGCCTCTCCTTTTACCTCCTACCACTGCAGAGAACACCCCCTGGTGGTGACATGAAGAATTACATGTTAAACATCGACATCCAGGTTGGTATTTACAGTGCTGTGTTAGAATTTGGAACAATACTTATTAAAAAAAAAAGGTGCCACCCTGTTTTATAAGTAGTTCTAATAGTTTTAAAAGTATTTTAGAGCTGTACTGATAAGTTAATTAATGATTAGACAATCAACAGGACGTGGATCGGCAACTGTTTTGATATACGATTAATCTTTTAAGCAATTTGTAAAACAAAAATGCCAACATTCAATCATTCTAGTGTCTCAGTTTTGAAGGTTTGCTGCCTGTCTTTATCATGACATACATTAAAGTGAACATCTCTGGGTTTGGGGGAACAGGTCAGACAACACAAGACATCTGATGACATAAATGGCTTGTGGGAAATTGCTATTGTGACATTTTATCAATTTTCTGACAAATCAATAAATCCAGAAAATACTCAACAGATTAATCAATAATGAAAGTTATCTTTTGTAGCCTCTGTGCCTTTTGCCATATAATGGATAACTATTTTTATTTTATTCCTACTTCAGGTGAATGTGGGACAGCAGTATATGTCATTTTTCCACCAGTATGAAATACGGGCGAGCACCTTTGGTTAAAAAACAACCCCAGATGAACATTTACCAGAGTTTTGGTGTCTGTGCTACATTCTCATGGCTCTTAAATCTAACAAAAATGCTCAAAAAAAACATGCTTTAAATGCTTGATTTGAAATCATAAAACCATAGAACAGGGCTAGGCAATATCGAGAAAATCAAATACCATGAGATTTTTGACCAAATACCTTACTGTCGGCATGGCAACGACATTGTAGGGTTGACTATTGGTGCTTTCACAATATATTTACACAGTACTTTTGATAGTATAATCATACGTAATGAGGATATAATGACTCAGTGTGTAGAGGCAAATAAATCACTTCACTGTAATTTAGCCTTTTAAAGCAGAAAAGGCAACACTCATGCCATATTACCACATTACAATATCCAAAATCTTAAATGATATCTAGTCTTATTCACAATATCAATATATTATCCAGATATTGCCCAGTCTACCACAGTGGCATGACAGTTTCTTACCTTTATATCGTCCTCGTCTTCGCCTGTGGTGTGTGTGAAATTATCTGCAGTGGAAGTGGAAGTGGATGGGTTGGCAGACTGGTGCAGTTGGCTTTCTTCAGCCAGGCTGTCTCTCTGTTTCTTGAATTTTTCCACCAGCCGTGTGTCCTTGGAGCGTTTGGTCCGCATCACCTCACCAGCCTGGGTCTTACTGTTAGAGTTGATTTCAAAGATAGTCTACAAGAGGAAGAAAGGAGATTTTTTTTATCAAGTGTTTTCAGGAAATTGCAGTGCTGTGAGATATCTGCATTATTTTCTTCAGTAACTCACAGATTTGGATTTGTAGCCTTTGATGGCATCGACTAAATGAAGGCGCTCAAGTTCCATTTTCTCTAGACCTGACCCTGAAACAAGATAAAACAAAACCTGTTAACACCTGCTGTCTGAGTACTGTCACCACTGCTCTCTTCACATTTCATCCTCCTCCAAACTGACCTAGGAATGGATGGACACCCATGCTGGACAAATCTGTGCTTTTAACCCTTCTGATGGACTCAGGTGAGGGGTTTGGTCGAGACTTGAGATACTGCTTGTAGGCGTTCTCCGAGACATGGTGCAGGTTTTGCAGGTCCTGGGAGTTCTCGTGAGCCGTGATCAGATGAGAACTTTCGTCATCCAGGATACTCTGAGGGACCCGACCAAACACACCCTCTGAATCTGGAGGAGGGGAGAGATTTAGATTGGAGAGTGTGACAGCAGAGCGGCAACGATTCTGACAACTAATCAATCAAAGAGTTCATTCATCAGTTGAAGTCTTGGCAGGTTATCTGTAAAGCATACCCTGTGTGTGTTCAGGTGTGGCGAACTGAACAGGCCTTCCAAGGAAGAGGTGAAGGTCATAGACAAAAGGCATCTCATCTGGACAAATCATACTGTAGGCTACGCCACTGCGCCCAGCTCGTCCAACACGACCTGATGGGGAAAGACAGGTGATGATTGATGGCCAAATAATCCTCATTTGTCACATTAACTGTACAAAAATATAAACAAAAAATTCACAGCTAAGGTAGGTGCAAACTGAGATCATAATTCATTATAAGCCACTCACCAACTCTGTGCAAGAAGAGCTTGGGCTTGGAGGGGAAGTTGTAGTTGATGACATTGTCCAGCATGGGGATGTCTATACCACGAGCAGCAACATCAGTCACAATTAGCACCATGGCTTTCCGATGCACAAATTTCCCTATGTTGATTTTTCTGGCAGTCTGATCGAGGGCGCTGTAGATGTAGGCACACTCCACACCTTCTGAAATCAGCAGCTGGAGATCAGAATGGCAGAAATGTAAATTTACCACAAATCAAGGCTGTTGCAGAGACACACACCTAGAGTTATTCAGCTATTAGTACCTTACCTCCTTAAGGTACTCTACATGGTGTTTGGTGGCTACAAAAACCACCGTCTGCTCCTGAGGCTTCACCACGTTCCTTAACAGGTGGAGCAGGAGTGCCTGCTTGTCGTCCATACGCAGATGGAAAAATGACAGCTGAGGGAAAACAGGAGAAATTAAAAAAATGCACAGGGCAGACAGATATGAGGAGAGGATCTAGCTCCAAGCTTTAGATGCAACATGCACCGTAACAGTCATACTTATTTAAATTCTCAAGTTATCTTAACCTTAATCTGGTCACTGAGCTTTGAATCCACATCCAAACGAATTAATACGGGTTCAGTCAGCCCTGGAAATATAAAAAAAAATTGATGATTCATGATGATTAAGTGATGATGCTCCAAACATTTTCAATCATGATAGATGCATGTAAAACATGAGTTATTGTTGATCTCACCAGCTCTGGCAAACTCCACCAGCAGTTTGGGCAGCGTGGCAGAGAACAGCAGAGTCTGTCTGGTGTCTGGGAGCCTCTGGATGATCTCCTGAAGCTGCTCAGCAAAACCCATTTCAAACAACCTGAGCGGAGGAAGAACACCAACACGTTCACACATACATGGATGCAAGTGTGGATCCAGGCTGTGAAATGAAAATGTGACACCTTCAGACAACTCCATTTCTCACCTGTCAGCCTCGTCAAACACCACGTACTCCACATTCTGCAGCTTCAAGTTCATCTCCTTGATAACGTGCATGAGACGACCGGGGGTTCCAATGATTCTGGGGGAAAGAGCAGATATCAGGATTACTACATACAGTACATGGCTGGGGGGGAAATGACATCATGAGTTAGCGCTACAACAAAACACTCACATGTCAGGGTTCTCATGAAGAGCAGCAAACTGATCATCCATTCTGGAAAAGAGAAGAGAAGAGACATTTACATTTATTTCAGGGTTAAAAGACAAATCTATAGAGGTCAGAATATGACAGAAAATTAGCAGGACAAGAATACTGAGAGGTAACACACCTGTCTCCACCGAGGATCAAGGCAGTCTTGAGGCCGGTGAATTTCCCCAACTTTAAAACACACACCACAGCGAGAGACAGACATCAGGGACAGTGCTAAATAATAATCACAGAAGCTCTTCTGCCGATTAACTAAACAACAATTGACTTTTTAATACAAAAAATATAGCTACATTTGACAATGGCAAACTTGAATAAGCCTGTTCGTCTGACCTCTTTTGTGAACTTCATGGTCTGCAGGGCCAACTCTCTGGTGGGGGTCAAGATGAGGGCCCTGGCTCCTGTTTGGGCTTGAGGGGCCTTCAGCTTCTCAAACATGGGCACAAGGAAGGCAGCCGTCTTACCACTGCCAGTCCTAGCCATAGCTACCATGTCTTTGCCATCTAAAATCACTGGGATCGTCTAAAGAGGAGAAGAGAAGAATTGTGCATAAAATATTGTGCTGTTAAAAATCACAAATGTTTGAATACAGGATCCTGAAGTGGACTTACCTTTCTTTGGATTGGAGTAGGGACTTTGTAACCCTTCTTCATGACACCTTTATATACAGGATAACTGAGACCTGAAATCATACATAATGTAGTTAAACAACACTGCCTCTGGGGAAACATGATGTCAGACGTAAATCATATATTTTCTAGCTCAAATTAACATATACACAGGCAGATTTCTAATACTGGAAGCAACCAGTGGACACGCAGCCCTATTTGTGCACTCTTCCCGGGGTCTTACCCATGGACTGAAAGCCTCCAGACTTCTTTTTCTTCTTGTTCTGTGCTCTGACCAGCTCTCTGGTGTCAGGCTCCACATCTGACAGGCAGTCTGAAGTGGTCGGGAACCGCGGGAGTTTCCTCCCTGGCTGTGTGACCAGAGACACAACAATAGCGTGTTAACAACATGACAGTTACCAAAAAGCAAGGCATTTTGCTGAATTCATCAGTTGAAATAACATGTTTCTGATGTAAGGAGGAGTACACATTTTCCCTGACAAGATAACAGTTCTAAAGTAGTTGAAGCATCCAAACAGTCTCTGAATATGGAAATATTGTTTATTTCAAAAGCTTAATTGCTGAACACAGGATTTTTATGCTGGACCACAACTGGCTAGAATTAGTTTTGATGTCACAAAATCCTGTTCGTATATGCATGTGCTAAACTCAGATTTAAGATGAGCACAGAGAGACTTTCCACCTTCAGCAGATGCATATGAAAACAGCACTCTACTGTCAAACTCAGCAAACAAATCATTCTCCACAGTGAAGGTTAAACATCTAAAAGGTGCAATAATAAGCAAAACACATCTGAGTAAAGATGGATGTAAAGAGACTGATGGATTAGCTTAACTGTTACTTGATTTTCTGTTGACTAAACTAAAGGTCAACAGAAACACAACATAAATTCATCCTCAACAATTAGAATAAAAAATGATAAGTTTACATAATGTAATAAAGTTACCATCACAATACCATAGAGGGTATTATGCTATAATTCATATAAACAAAAGTTCTGACACTTGTAACAATAAGGCACAACATTAAAACCTCTGACAGGTGAAGTGAATAACACTGATGATCTTGTCACAATACCATGCCCTGATATGAAAAATTGGGTCCTGGCATCCCAATCCAATAAAGAGAACCACAGGACAGACACCACAGGAAACCCCAATAGGTCTTGAGTCCATGCATTGAGAGGTCAGAGGTCCCACCGTGGATCGGACTTGGCTCTGACCTGCAAGGCACAAACACTGGACCTCTGCAGTACCAGCACTTCCCACAGATGCTCAATCAGACTGGGATCTGGGAAATTTGGAGGCTCTTTGTCCCTTTGGGACAAGGCACATTATCCTTTTTTATTATTATTATTTTGATAGGGACAATGCAATTTAACATAGTTCGGATACAAAGTATGGGACTGATGTGTTACATAGAGAGTTTATAGCTATTGCTAATTCTCAACTCTTGTCCCTAAATGCTTTTAGATGTAGACTTAAATGTTATTAAAAATATACAGTTTAACAACATCATACAACCACAATACACTATAAACATAGCAGGCAAAATAAACCACAATCCACACACTACAACAGACATAAACTACACATACCACAACACACCAAAACACTAACACCCCTTAAAGGTTTGAGACCATTTAGCTAAGAGTGGGTACAGCTCTGGTTTGCTGTTGGCCAGCACGTGACCTTTGTTGTACAGGGTTTAAAAACTATAATCAGTTTGACATCAGCTGGTAATATGTTACAGAGTCAACTGTACTTGTCAGTGGTTTCAATGAAGTGGCTCATCAAGGTATGTTACATGCTAATGACAGTTTTTCATGCCTATAAAAAGTCTCTCAGACTACTTTGGCTTTGGCAAACATGTACACATAATACTCGACACAAGTTACATTTTATTATATAGTATATATGAATCATAAACCAAATTGATGAAAATTATTTTCAGGGGGCATCCGGATTTGAACCGGAGACCTCTTGATCTGCAGTCAAATGCTCTACCACTGAGCTATACCCCCAGACACGTACTACTTCATGGTGAAACCTATCGTACAATTATCACAAAGTGTGCTCCATTAAGAAAATGGTTGCTTCTAAGGCCTACTGCAAGTAAGTTGTTTCTTTTCCAAGTGTTGTTACTTACAGAGTCATCGTCTTTAATTTCAGCAGCCAGCTCAAAGTCTCCGCTGTCAGAGTCTGCCTCCGGCTCCCTGTTGGCTGTGTGTCTCTTCTTCTTCGTCAGTTTCTTCTTCCTCTGCGCCATCTTGACGCTTTAATTCTCTCTTAGGCTGCTTTCAAAGACTTTACTGTACAGTTTGTTGAATAAAACAGCGTCAAACTAGTCAACACAGCTCATAGCATGTCAACACACGTAAACACGGTGGGCAGACATGTTGGATACACGTGTGGGCTTCTTCTTCGGCTTCCGTCTTCTTTTTCCGGTCTGGTGTGTTGCGTAAAGCTCAACACCGCCACCTACTGCCACAGAGCGTGTGCTGCTAAATAGTTCTATAAAATTATGTTACTCCAGCTCCACTTCCTCTTATACCAATATATTGTAGGCTGTGTGATATATCTATCATCTTTAACTCTTTATAACACCTCTTCATATAGTTTCTGATGTAACAATGTCTCATTTCTTCATAAAGGATGCACATTGGGTGAACCACACTTCAAAGCCAATAATGCAGCAGCTAAATCTAATCATATCACACAATGTTCCGGTCTTGCTTTTTTCAGTTCTCCTCAAATTAACTTCATTAATCCTGTGAAGATATTTTGTTTGAAATCTATAAGCTCTGGTGAACAGAAGCTGAGGGGCACTATCCCATACTCTGATCTGCAGATGTCAGGCTCTTTTGGTTCATCTTTAAAAAATCTGCACTTAGGATCTCATGTGCTTTTTATATCTTGCCAAACTGCCTCATTTCTGTTTATAGTATTTAATCTGCTATTGCAAGAGCAGAGTGACATCTACTCTAAGTTTCTTCTCTCTGTTTATCTATCTATTTATTGCACAAATACCAGAGAGAAATGTTGCTGTTACAAGGCAGTTCTTTTGTGTGGCCGGCTTTTGATTTATGAGAGAGAGCATACATACAGCATCCTCGCCCTGCTGCATCTTATATTGTGTTAGCATCTCTGTGTGTGCACTTGAAAGGCTGGCACAGATGTCTCGTAGCAGAGTCTTTTTTTGAATCTCAATTACACCCTAATTTTCCGCAGCAACGTCTCTGATGCTGAGATGTATTATACACAGTCCAATACTGATTTAATCGCAGGAGGTGCTTTATCTCCCTCCCTCAGTCAGTATATATAAATTCAAAATCTTTGCCACGATAATTATCTTTTTGTTTTATTTGAACCAGCTGAACACTGAAATTGTTCAAGTGAGAACAGGGACAAGTCATGTACAAGCAGATAACACGATAAACATTATTTGTCTTATGAGTTAAATGAACTGCATTAACTTGGACTTGGATTATTTTATTCATCAACCCCTTTATCTACATTTGTTAATAATATATAACCCAGATTTGTCATTTCTATGTCTGTAGAGCATGATGTGACAAAAGGAGCTGGCAGTACCCATGTCTTGCAGTTCCCAGTGTAACACTGTGCTGTAATCTCAAATTAAGGTCATTAGGTTGTACATTTTGCAGAATAATCTCTTTTCATTTTATCTGTCTGAGCAAACTGAAGAACCTTCTTTAGACATGTAGGTATGAGAAAAGTAGAATACCTTGCCCTAACATGCCTTTATTGTGATGACTATATATTTATATAACTCAAAACTCACGGTGCAATCAGAGCTTTTCTTTTATGTTGCGTAACTTTTCCTGAAGTGACTGCATAGGACATTTTGGCAGGCAAAGCCTACCCATCCATGCAACAACTGTCACACTTATGCTACTGGAATCCTGAAATATGCTACGAGGTTTCTACAAAAAAAAAAACAGATTTTAGTCCACTGCACAAACATAAGCTCAAAGACTGAATGACTAGGTTTCAGCAGGCTTTATGCACTGTGCTAATTTTAGGATTCTGTCCTCAAATGCCATATTTATTACACATGTGCTCAACTATCGTGTCATTTTTTTAAATAGTGTTTGTGTTTCACACAAATCTGTGTTTCATCATTCCTTGTCACATAATACCATTGCAGATGATGTAACAAAACAAAGCTCTTCCCCCATTCATAAATATTGTCCTGTGAAAGCTTATGTGGAATATCCTCACTTGACAGTCTTGAATCCGGTTGAATCTGTGAAGGGGGATTAAATACTAATTTCTCACTTGGGTTCCTGTACTGATTTTGCCTAAAATGGTTTAGTATAAGTTATTTTATCAAAATGTGTCCTCTGAAGCCTCCTGTAATCCACGCATTCACCTCCAAGCAAGGCCATAATTATAATATACATTGGGGAGGACAATAAATAAAAATATAAATAATGGTCCCATGCCAATAGCCCACGTGGGTGGGTTTAAAGTGGGCCCCACATGGGTTACGCTATGGCTACCTGGGCACCAAGTGAGTATGGGCCCAAAATGGGCATCTTATCTGGGGCCAGCTTGGGCAAAACCAATTGGCATGGGACCACTGTGGAACCCTTGGATAATGCCACATGGGGCCCGTTTTTCAGCTCATTTACTACCCATGTGAGCCACACATACAAATGTTGGAGGGGCGCATTCCACTGTCTGATACAATAATAACCAAATGTAATCATAAATAGTTAAACTTAACATATTGCTATTATTGCTAGTGGGTCTAGTCATAGCCCGTATAATGCTGGCCGTAGCTACTGCAGTGTCACCCATTGGTTTGTGGACTCCCGTTTTGAAGCCTTGAGTTTGGCATTTTGGCTGTTGCCATGGTTGCCATCTTGGTTTTTTTTATGGAGCCAGAAGTGACCATATTTGGACTAGAAGGTGGGGCTGTGGAGGAGCAAGGGGTGGGTCTGACTCACAGAGTGTGTTATGCAGACAGTCTGTCACTCAAGCAGCCCCCTCAATATGCATACCTTTGGGCCTTAATAAAATGTAAATGGGAGGGTGATTAAAAAAAAAATTCACCCCCTGTACTGTTGTCATGAGTGTTGAAATTAGCTATAGAGACCAAAACCATTTTTGTACCAGTGTGGAAACGTGTTTATTTGTGCAGTAAATCTGGGCATTTTAACATGGGTGTCTGGGGGATTTAGTCTGTTTTGGAGCCAACCTTTGCATATTTGTTTTTCAGCTTCACTGTCTGTCGCTTTGTTCTAGTACTACTGCAGTTTTGCATGTGGTTTGTCCAAATGGTGTTGCCATATCCCAAAAGAACAGAGCTCACAGGTATATTCAGCTTATGTTAATGGCTTAATTATGTGAAATTCATCTGAGCAAAGTGTCAGTCATTTATGTGCGTGTGTAATTTATGTAGACACTAGTAGCTTTTGTTTATTGCATATGTGTATAGTATATGTTACAGCTGTATTTTCTTAGGATAAATAATATAATATAATTTTGAGTCCATGGCTACGGCCTTGCTTTCAAACATGTTGATTATTGGGCAAAAGTAAATCTAACTGACGTTCCTGCATGTGATTTCATTACAATGTGAGGCCAGCTGCTGCTCAAGAACACAGCTGCCCAAAACATTAAAAACCTAAATGAAATGAGATGTTAAGTATGTTACTCATTAGAAACCAATATTAGGAAAAATCTCAGCAATGTTTTTCTTCCCATTTTTATTAAATGTCGTTTCTGTCTTCATCTCATCGGAATTTTTTATGAAAACCAGTATATTAAATGTGGAGCTGATTTATTACATTGTAATAATGCACATCTTCTTTTGGTCAGTATTTCTACAGCTTACAGGACTTTTTGCATGAGCTCATAACTTTCTGTTGTTTATGAGCAGCCACAGTTTAATTTTTTAAATCACCCAGTGGAAATGTGTCCTTTGGATGATAACACTGACACTAATATGGCAGCCAAAACGTGTACTGCGCTGTTTGAAGTCAGTGGGCTGATGTACAGTAAATAAGTCAACACCATGGCAACAGCCCGGAGCTAATGCCATTCATATTCCCTCACAGAGCCTGGCTGCGGTGGCCGTGAGCCAAATCTGTTCAGGGAGCTGAGAGGGGATGACACACATGCAATAGGTGCCGAGAGCCACCTATAGGATCCGCTTTTTGTTTTAAAGGTGATTTAAGTGATAAAGCCTGAGGGGGATTAAGATATGGAGCTGGCAGCGATGGCAAAGTTGTGGTGTTTTCGACTTGACATTCAAGTAATGCGGGTGTTGGCATCAGCGTGCTATCAGGTCAGCCTCCAAAGCTCCTGGCAGTGTCTTAACTCTCACTATGTCAAGCCCTCATGTTGAAAACATGCAGCTGAATCACGCTCCACATGAGTTCATTTTCTGACATTGCTTATTATTCATGAGGCAGTTTCTGTTTCTGTCAATATGTATCATGGGCTATGAACGAAAACAGAGTAGCATGTTTTGATGTTCCTGTTTGGAGCATGGCTTGATAATGCCCCACCTTTTACATATCCACTGAGAGCTCTGCCATTGATTCCACAAAGTATAATGATAAGATCTATAAATGACATAGCCTACATGATACATGACATATTTAATACTTAATGTAGGCTGAACTAAGCTGCATACTGAGCTATAGGAGACTTACAGCAGAGTATCTGACCTTTCAAAAACCTGTGGTGTAGAATGTGTCAGTGATATCGTGGATTTAGATTGTACACAAATAGTTCGCTAAGCAGTCAGTGACTAAATGGGCACTAAATGAAAGTCATTAAGAAAACAGATGTCAACATGTCTCAGGTTGGATTTTTGTAAAGATGTTCTTCAGCAGAGTGTGTGTAGCAGATGCTGCCTCTAAGCCTTGGAGATTGGGGTGGATGTTTAAATTAAGAGATTATTGAGCTGATGGTTTGTAAAGCTAAGCCTTTAAATGGGGGTAGCAGTTAAATATTCTTCTACTCTATCTGTGTCGATTTAATTATTTATCAACCGCTCTTTAAAAGGGCTGGCCGTGGGTTCAGTGGACCTTTTAAAAATAGTCCAAACATCCAATTAGCATTGCGAGTGATGTGCTGCAGCATATCAGGCATGTCCCTCCAGCAAGCCTTCAAATGCTGGTTTGATTTTCCACGCCAGCTGCTGTACATCCAGGGGGCAAATTAATCTCGGAAATCTGATAGCAGCTCCTCAAAAAGTTTAAAATAGCTGTATAAGAGGAAATATCGGCTTTGGAGTTGCATCCCATGAAATGATTATATCCCACTTGTGAAATGTGAGATTAGCTGTGACTGTCATCACATTTGTGACTGTAATCTCAAATCTGTGTATGGATTTCAAATGTTTCAAATGTTTTTTCACTCAGCTAGGCTGTGCATTAAAGATTCA